AGAGAGAGAGAGAGGTGGTGATGAAGAGGGGAAAGAGGGGGAATAGGGGAGAGGGGGAGAGGGAGGGTTGAGAAGAGAAGCGAGGACCAAAACCCAGTATTGGATCGCTCGAGGCAAGCTCGCGATACCGAACTTCGGGGCGCTTACGCTTGCAGGTCGCCCTGTCGGTGTAAGCCGCGCACAACTACGTGCGCCGCATCGGAAATTCATGTATAGCGTTAATTTGGTTATTACCGGGCTTGCGGAATAATAACGCCGGCCAGCGTACGCGAGGGCGGTGGCGGCAGTATCGAAAGTCACCGTCGAAACGAGAGATGCACAGCACATAGAGATCGATGCCACCGGGATAACACCGGGTTTTCGGACTCCGTATTGGATTTCGTTTTTGGGGAGAATTTATTTGCGTCGACCGCTGCGAACTGTGTGTTGCGCTCCGTACACCGTGTTTTCGAAAGCAAAAAGCGACCAGTGATTTCGCAGAAACTTGAAACAGTCAGTCAGCAACTTCCTGAATATGTAACGTAATATTCTTTAGGAATAAAACCGACAAGTTTGCCACCGCCTTTGCCGGTTCATGAACTGATGAAAAGGTTGCGACCCATCAGCACTCGTGTGAAGGAATCCCCTTCAAAATTTTTTCAACTATCTTGTGTACGTAGAAAAATTTGGAGTCACGTGTGCAACTGTTCTTACCATCGTTTCAAAGATATAAAATGTTATCGCTTTGGTATTTTGAGTACTCTTCTTTTAAACGATCTAAAAATAATATTAAAAGTAATAGTAAGCAATTATTCACAGTATAGATATATTCGATACACAAGTTTTCGCTAATTTAGTTCAGATACGGATTATTATTTGTGTAAATACCGCAATGGCGTTTGCAAACAATTGTAGCAATTACACTCAATAATAGCTACTTCGACCGATAGCTACCGAGTTTCGAGAGGACACTCGACTATTTCTTTTCAACGAGGTTTTCTTGTGTGCCAAGGCTTCTGCCGTGATACTTGCCAGTGGATCAAGTGGCGGGCGAGCTCCGGCATTTAATCCTCCCGGGCATTTAAAATTTAATGGGCCTGTCGTATACGAAGCTTCCACTGCCAGGTGGATGCCTCTTGAACTTGCTCAAATTCAAAGGCCTTTGACGCCAGCCATTTTTATTCAAATGACGCCTGATGGACCTTAATTGAAGCTAATCTCAATTTTATCGATTCATAAAACATACTGTGCGCTAAAACGTAGACGCAATGCAACATCTTCGACAAAATCAGTCAAAATATAAAAAATACAAGTTGGCTAAAGATTTTATTTTAAATGTACACGATTTATATTAATTGTCTTTATATTTTTTTAAATATTAAATTAATTTTGTTACATCATGAGTCTATTTAAACTCTCTTTTTGTAATTTGGGTTACGATGTTAACGCAATTTATTGGGTTTATTGGAAACTTGAATAAAAATCTGAATTGAAAATTGTGGCAGAAGCCCTTTATTCTATCGCGATAAGATTATTTCCGATAAGTTCAAACTGAACATTATTAGTTTGATAAAATATGATTAATCACAGGATACCTTTTCCTACAAGTTATCAGGTGTGTAAGTTTCATGATAAGGGCATACATATTCAGCGTAGACATCTGCGGGATGCGAAACAAAGAAGATTGGTTTTTGGTTCGGGTCGCTACGTCGATTTTTCGCTGAGTTATAGCGTTTTAAAAATCGGGCGCGCGCGCGCACCATTCATTTGAGAAGGCCACGTGAGTTTTACGCGAACGTACTACGTCCCCAAAAAATCGGCATAAAAACATACGAGGCACAGATGTTCGGTAGTAAACATCGCCGCGCGAAACGCCGCATATACGCGTCGTCTGCCTCTTCTGAATCAGGATTAAGATGGCGAGTCGATATAATCGTCAATATCTTCGCACAGAAAAATCGTAGGAAGATGATCTTGGTCTCGTTGAAAAGCTAAGATTTCAGCGCTTCTAACGAGATGAGAATCGCTTATCTCAGCTTATTAGTTTATGAGGCATTATTGATAAATTCCGAGAAAATTGATTTTGTCCCAAGATCGAGAGAGTGAATTAATCTTTCGATTGGATGAATCTCTCTCACGTCGTGCATTAAATAGCAAACACGAATTTATGTTCACTCAATATTCATTTTTCTAAATATTCACATATGTAATTGCAGTTTCTTGTTGATCCCCTCCTCGGGTACTACCTTGTCGTGGTGGAGGGGCTTAAGTACCCTGAAGGGTTACTCTCTAAAAATCACTCAGTGGTTTATTACTGAAAACAATGAATATTCACTGATTTACAGTAATGATGCACTGATTAATTTTTAGAGAGTGCAGACCCTAAAGACGGGAC